AGCAAAGTCCAGGATAGGGATGTTACTAATCGTCTATTTGCTAACTCATCTGGTCCTTATATTGATCCATATTCTATATTCATCCATAAAGATCAAATGTTATTCTTGAGTAATGCAATAAAATCCAGATATAATGATGTAGTAAGAGCGGATCAAGGTCTTTAGGTCTTTACTCTCTCTAAACTACTTTCCATTAGATATATTTGTTGCGCTAGGCACTAATGAGGTTCTCTGGTGACTGTGTTAAATGAGACACTGTTCCCAAGGAGCTGACAGTACAGGGGAAACACTCCACACATGACAACTGCCATAGCATGTTTTAAACACAAGAGGCAGCCAGAGAACTGTGAAGGGACACACTGTGGTTATCTAGTCAGATCGGCAGTTAACAAGGGGGGGCTGAGAGCAGAGCTCTGCACTGAGCCCTGGCCAGGCCTGCCCGCGGCCCTCAGTTCTAGCCACAGAACCTCCAAAATGAGCAGGAAAAGCTTCCCAAAGGACATCATGGCATTTAGGCTTGAGCTGAGTTTGAGTCTTAAGCACCTGAGATGGGTGAGCGTGGGGGGCGTGTGAGCACGGTGGTCTTCAGAGCTCCACGCTGGACATGCGGGCTTAGGGTTCAGTGGTGAGTAATGCTAGCTGTGGGCAGGAGACAGGAGCTAAGAGGACAGTGATGCAAGCGTGGTGGTGCACCTCTGTAATCCCAACACTCGGGGGGCTGAGGCAGGAGGATCATGGGAAATTTGAGACCAGCTTGGGCTACAAGGTGAGCTCAGGGGCAGCCTGAATTGCACAGTGAGACTCTATCTCAAAAAGACAAAAAACAAAAATAAAGACCTTGGGCACTGCCATTTTAGGCAAGGGAAGAACATGTGCGTGGAGCGGTAAGCCCTGCGTCCCTGCATACATCACAGCGACCCCATGAGCCTGCAGGAGGAAGGCCACCAGCTCTTCATGGTCCGGGTGTTCATATGCAAGAAATCTGAGCCGCACACAGCAGGCCCAGGGTCCCTCGCAGGACCTGGTGCTGGAATGACTGGATGAAATTTAAGATTTGGAAAGTACACTGGCAGGCCAGTGAGGAAAAAGAATTGATGCAGGAAGCCAGAAGCAGAAACGCTATCAAAGAGGATGAAGAGAGCAATGAAAGCAAGAGTCTGAGGGGAATCAAAGTCAAAGCGAGGTTCCCAAGAAGGTGAAGACCAACCTGACAAGCCTTGGGGACTGCAGAACTGGAGAAGCTCAGGGAAGAAGACGAGGTCTGGACCAGAGAGAGGAACCGTCGAGAGGAGCGCTCCAACTGCAGCCCCAAATGCCCATTCATGGCAAAGTGCCAACCTGCGATTCTACCTGAATATTTAGATTTTAGTTTGCAAAAAACAATTGCTATCTAATGCTCGACGGCTGGCGTGATTTTGCTCATGGCAACAGAGAATGTCTGTCCACTGCGGCACCCGTGCCATCTGTTCACCACCGCTGGCCAGGCTGGCCCTGTGCTCGGAATGTGGGTAACAAAAGACTTGGGCATGCCATAGAGCATAATGCATTCGGACTGCTGGGGGGCGGGGGGGGGGGGGGGGGGCTTCCCCATGCAGGTGTGAGCCTGTTTTAATGAGCTTGAGACCCCAGCAGGACACTCAGGACCCTGGCCTGGCACTCTTTGGACGGGTCTGAGCTAGACACAGAAACTCAGGAGTGAACAGTGACAGGTTACATTTCCAGCCATGAATTTGGGAAAAATCACTGAGTCCAAAAAGAAAGCCACAGGGAGATCAGTATATTCAGGTTAAAGACAAATGCAAGCTATCACATTCTGTATCAGGTAAGTGTGTCTCGGGACTTGCCTAAAATGCCTTTACTAGTTTAAAAGGTATTTATTTGTCAACCCAGGCAAATTTTCTGCAAAGCTTGGCAGCAGACACATCAGGTCATCTGATGACGGCTCTTCACTCACAAGTTAAAAAAAGAAGGGAAAATCTGTCTCAATTCATACTTTTCTAGCATTTTCAAACAATGAAGGTTTAAAACAAAGAGGCCAGGAAAATTTCCAATCTGATTCGAACACAACAGCAAGATTATACTCCAGAGATGAAAAGGCAGACTTTCAGAAATGAGGAAGGGGTGGGGAAAAGAGAAGGGCACAGGGGGCTGGAAGGAGTAAGACACACGACACGCACAGGACAGCACACCAACGCTGACCCTGTCCTTCTATATTACTAATACGCACACACCCTGCAACATTTTTAAAATGACAGCATAGACTACCAAGGAACCCAAATCCTTTATTTCTTGTGCATTTTAAAACATGTTTTCTCTGTTTATAGTCTCTGGGGAAAACTGCTGTTAGAATCATAAAGCAGGAAGACGTCAGTCTTGTTTCCCATAAATTAGCTACTAGGTCTGTATGGTCTCATCGTCAAAGCTACATGAAAGAATATCAGAATATATCACAGGGAAAGAATTTAAGGATACTGAGAAGGATTGTTTCAGTCTACAGCTAACTTCGGGCTATAAACTACAATCTCAAATACTCCTCTTCAGATCTTTTATAACTAATCAATTTACAGGAGTTCAGCAGACTAGATCACTTACGGTCATAACCAGTTCACGTATCATTCACAGCATTGTTGTGGCTGAGATGCTTAATTTGAGTGCCTGAAGAGCCAATCTCATCCAAAGATAGTCTAATATTCTGACGTTGATAAATCAGTGGTAAGTAAGTCAGGCTTTTCATTAAAATTGTCAAGAAATACAAAACATAATTCTCCAAGATTCATCTGCTCCTTAATAATCCAGATTTTTGGCAACATCACTACTCCAACTACTGGTAGACCTCTATCTAGTCTTGTAACTATAAAAAATTAAATTAAATTAAAACTATAGTAGAAATTTCAAGGACAAAATTTCAATTAATTGTAAAATACGTCCAAAACTCTGTAACAGGTACATGTGAATCCTTGTACTTGAAGACTGAAGATTCCCCTACGTACCGAGGAGAAAGTTGATTCCTTTCCTCTTTATCTACTGAATCAACTCTAAAACTCTGTCTTGGTAACTATCGATGATACAAACATATAGAGTCTAGTTTTATGTGTGAGATAATTTAACAGTGTAGTTATGACAAGAGACAGAATGTGTTGCACAATACTCCTAAAACACATAGTCATTATAAGACAAGCTGTCCAGATCACCCTGACAACTGGTCGCTTGATGAAGCCACGGTAGGGATGGGATGGGGAAGAGGTCAAAAGTCCTCACTATGCCAAGACGCTGACTCACACACTGGATCGGCATGACTGAGGGCGCACAGCAGCCTGCGGCAATATGGCTGTGCTCACCAAACAGAAGGCTCAGCTACGCGGCGTCTAAGACTTAGAAAGGAGGCCTCTCCCTGAGAAGACCTAAGGGTGCAGTGCCTGGCATCCTTACGTGATACCCCCCTGATAACGGTAAAAGGGGTGAACTTTGCTGACTGGGGTTACCATGAACCTGCCCATTATCACCTGCTGATGCCCTGACGGGGACAATGATCATGGAGGGATGCACACACGACTCAGCGCCACTGTGCCACACAGCCCAAAATGTGGCCTGACACCAGACTGCTGAGTAAAGAGTTGAATAACTAGGTCTATTAAAGATAAAATCCGGGAGCTCTTCTGCAACACGAACCTTCATTCTATGCTAGACTTTCTACCTCCGTGACACTACATCCAAGTCTTTAGCCTCACATGTTCATATAAACCATAACATTCCTGAAGTGTAACTTACTGTCTCTTACACTTAGTAATAGTACTTTATGATGCTGAAATAGGATGTGGCTTACGATCGATATGGCATATAAGCAGACTTAGTTGAAAAATGACCTGGCATAGAAAATTAGTTTTTATTGCAGATCACTGAATATGTTGCAC